AAACGCAGTTGTGAAGGCGGCATTTGAACTTTAGAGTTCGCATGTTTGTGAAAAGCGCAGTAAAATCATTCTGTAAAAAAAAAATAATTAAATTTAGTTTTAAGCTTATTTATTAACAAGTCAACTAAATAAAGTAACGCAAGACTTAAGCTTAATTTGCATTTGTAAACAAAAAATTTTTTCACCGGTTTTATCGATAAATTCGAGTAAAAAAGACAAAGCTTTACCTGTTAAAACTTCCAAACCGAACTTCGTCACCTTCTCCGTGTATTTCGGGAACAGCTTGCTTGATTAGTTGTGAAATTTCTTTGTTTGTTACGGCAGCAAACCGGGAAGGCATTTTGCTCGCAACTTAATGCGAGTTTGGCGACGTTCACTGGGAGAAACTGGGGGTGAATCAGTGAATAGTGCAGGATATTCACTGATTGAGTAGCCAATCAGAGCGAGCGAAAAACACTATCCACTGTTTTGGTATATACTAAAGAGGTTTATTGGTCTTGTAAAGAAAGAGTCGCATTTTACGCTGGCACCAGTAACAGGAACACAATCATCTTCGCCTGCCCCGCTGAAAAATACGCCTGCTATACAGGCTACATTATCAGTTTTGTCCACTTAGAGAGAAACAGCATTGCTAAGCTGGGTTTTGTATAAAAAAGAAAACAAGCGATTTATTGTTTGGGTGTCTTCACATCATTAAATCCCGGAGGAACCAAACTAAGTTTAAAGTTCTAAAAGTCTTCGCTGATTTCAGGGACGACATTATGGATGGTCGCGAATCCAGTGTGACAAAGCATTCCAGCGTGACATGAAGAAGCTGTGCGCACGCAACTGGTTGTGTCGGAGAGCTGCAGATGTATACCTCGTTTCGGTTAGACTTGGTAGGGTTTTTTTCTTCAAAGCAACTACCCCACCATGGTGCCTAACTAGTTGCGCAAAGGATCTTGGAGATCCAAACGGAAGTCGTTGAGGTTAAAACCCCACAGAGGATACAAAGGAAAGTATTCAAGTCAGTGAAGAGAATGGCCCTTAACTGAAAATCATATCTTATGTCAGTACACGTATGACGCTTTGTAATCCGCAATAAACGTTTAAGCTATAAACGTCTCCTGTCATTTTCTTACGAGGAGGACAGTGAAGTAAAAACACTTCAGTTATACTTTTCAGTTTTCAGCCCGGTAATTCCTCGGGAAGAGAGGTCGCGCTTGGATCGCGAAGAGAGATCATTTGAATGCCCCATTTATACTACTGTAACACATTTTTATTTCTACATACCGAGATGGACAGTTTTTTTGAAGCCATTTTAAAGAGCAATGAATTTTTTTTAGCGATGGACTGTCACAGTAGAAGTATTTTAAAGAAAAAAAATATTAATCTAAGCAATCTGGACCTTTAGCTTAAAAAAACTAAAATAAAATAAACTCCGCACACGTGTTAGCTTCTTTCGGCTTCTAACCTTCCTTTCTCCTGATTTTGGTCCGGCTCGATCTCCCGCTTTGCAGTACAAGGCTCTACCGAAACTAAATTAAGAGTTCTATCGTGCTACAGTTCTTCAACATTCTTCAAAAAGTAACCTTACTCGTCTTCAGTCGTCTCCCAGTCTCCTATCAACCCGGTCAAGGAGGAGGCGCGAGGGGTGATGCAAAGAAGCAAAAAGTCTCAGTTTCTCCTTTCTCCTTCCTAAAGTCCCCTTCGCCGATATGCCGTTATAGCCTGCCGCAACCGTTCCGTGACCGCTTAAAATATTAAGAGAGGCCTGAGGACGAGTCAGGCAAATGACATTTTGAGCACGCTGAAAGAAAGAAAAGAGCTGCTCAGGCGTGTTGTGACGTTAAGAAGGACATAAAACACCGTAAAACCAGCCGTGCTCGAACCAATCTGCCGCCTTTCCTGGAAATTTTAGTGGAATAAGTTCCTAAGTATTCAAACAAAAATTTATAACCATCGAATATTACTTGCAGTAACGCTTTATTTATTATTTTTATTACTTTTTTTTCTACGTCGTTTAAATAAAGCATTTTGCTTAACAGGGCTTTAAATAATACAGATGTTCTACATCACCTTCGATTTGCCTGTCCATTATAGTGTAAACAAGCTTCTGGAATTTTGAGAGGCTTCCGCTGAGAAATAAACTCAGCAAACCAATTCTAATAGCACATTTCTTCTACAGCAATTCATTAGCAGCATGTTTATGCTCTTAGTAATTTTTAAACTCTACTATCATTTAACTCTGACGTATCTTGCCTTGCCATGCAAGAAATTGTATTTAATCAATTATGGCACAATTACGAAAAATCATAAAATAATTTTACAGGTCTACTTTGTTAATGTGTTAATGGAATTAAAAACCTAAGGCCCTGTTCGCAATAGGACGAAAAATGGAGTTTGGCGTTTGCAAAAAATTTTGTAATCACCTTTTTCCCTTTTTGCAACCGTGTTCGCATCGAGACAAGCAAAATTTTTCGTAAAACCAGAAACGCCATATTCGCGGAAAAAGATGACCCGACGAAGGCTATCTGTCAAGGAACAAAGAATTTTTTCTCAGTAAAATAAATAGGATCTATTCAGCTGGCAAGTGTCCCGGGCACCCATTTCTTAATTTTCTGGATCCACCCCCGCTAATCGTCCTTCGATCGACTCGTCCCTGAGGCATCAAGGGAAAAAAATGAGCGAGCCAAGAGGCGAAGTCTTAAAAGTAATGTCTTGTACTCACTCCCACTGGTCAAAAGAGTTGATGTCCCAAATAACACCTTGGCAGAATATCTTGTGCTCGTACATAGCTTCAAAATAAACGGTATAGTTAGCAACACGTGATTATATTAGTCTTAAAGAAACATACTCTTTTCAATTATACAGCCTTATAAAGTGACAAAGGACAGAAATTCGTTTCAAGTACTAACAGCTATTAAAAAGACGTCTTCGATTTGGGGCAAAACAACTGGGTCTAATAATTTTATTGGGTCTGATTAGTGTTGGATTTATAGTAATTTAGCAAACATTTTTCTATTTGTTCCGCTTGTTGTCGTTAATCTGTTGAACCTTCCTATTTCGCTTTATTTTGCTTGTTTATTGTATTTATTTATTCATTTTACTGTTTCGCCTTCTTTTTATTTGCCGCCCTGTTATTGTAAAGTTTATTGTAATGTTATGTTAAAGGATGTTTAATAAATACATTATTAATTTTAAAAAAAACTGGGTCTTAAAGAAAACATTAATGACTTAGATACATGAAAAAAAAACATACATTTGAACTGCGGATGAAGAGATGAACGAGTAGTTATCAGCCTAAAAGCTAGTTTCTATGTCATTAGATTCCGCCCTGGCCCGCAAAGTTTTAAGAAAAAACGTCATTAACTTGAATAAAACGATACGGAGAGAAATGTTACGTACATGTGTTAATCTGGAGAGACCGTGTCTGAGTTGTTGTTGTTGTTGTTTTTTTCAGAGTGACTGAATTTGACGATATAACGCTCGTTTCAAATGTAAAAATGATTTGAGTAGTGGTCGGGAGTGTTATCATTGCCAGGAAAGAAAGTGCTTCATTGTGTAATTTTTGGATGCTGTTGACAAACAAAAGACAGGCATGTTGTTCTACTATTAAATTCGTCACTTTAGAAACTAGAAGGAAACTGCGCCAAGTTAACTTTCGCAAAGACTTCTGGCACTTTTACTGGGGACAGGGGAAAAATTGGCCAATAGCAGACCGGCGCGTCCCCAGTAACGATCATAGACGTCTTTACAAAAGATATCTCGTCCCACTTTCCCTCTCGTTTCTAAAGTGGTGAATCAGAAGGTGATAAATGTTGTACGGGAAACCGCCCACCTACCTCTCCCCTAACTAAACATTTTAACCTAAGTGAGAAGTAAGTGTAAATGTTGACTTAGGGGAGGGGTAGGTGGGCAGTTTCCCAGAAAACTAAAAATTGATCCCGTTTTGGCTCGAGCAAACGTAGCGTTTTGCTAGCATTTAAGTCGTCATTTAATGGCCTTGGGATCGACCTTAGGTTGATTCTTTTTTGGTTCTAAATTGCCAAGCAGAGGGATGAGTGAATTCTTTCTCCCTAGCCCGGTTTTCCAAAAACGTATGAATGTATATTTACAAATAAATAAATACCAGCAACTAACCAATTAGGGCACCCAAGATGAAGGGAGTCAACTTGGAAAACAAAATGGAATTCGTTGGTTTGTTTCCTTCGAAAACCTACGATGAAAAATGATACATTAACAGCTAAAGTGTATAAATGAGTAACAACTCAAGAGTTTCTACTATGTTGGATGACTCTGAGGTTCAAGTCAATCAATTAAATTAACTAGTAATAAGTCAGTTATCCTTTTGCTGTACAAATGCCTTTAACACAGGAAACAAATCTGTTGCTGAGTTCCTGAAGTACCAAAAATCTAACAGAAATGTTCATTTAAATCTTAATTTTTAGAATTCTAATAACAACAACAATAATAATAATAATAACTTATTGCTCATTTGGTGCAAATTAATATGATTCAAATGTGTCTTACATATATATCTGACCATATACAAGCAAAATTATATAATAACATAGTTCTAAATTTATCAAAAGCCTAAAAACTGATAACGAGAGACAAAAAATTGCATTTAAAGAATTGTTATGGAATAAAAATTTAAACGTAAGACTAAATCTAAGACAATACTACATGAGTAATTATGCTAACAGAGGCTCTAGGTGTTACAAGCAAATGCTTTTTTGAATAAGTACGTAGGGACCCCAGGTAGGTGAAGTAACCTTCGGTGGGTCACCCCGCCTATCATGTAAACGTGATCAAATTAAAATGAGAGATTATATGGACTGGCAGGTTTCCCCCTACCTACCTGGGGTCCCACACCTCCATGTAAACAGGCCCTTAAATGCTCCTTTGAAAAGAGCAAAGCTTCTAATTATTCTTATTTCAGAGAGTAATGTATTCCTTAATCTAGGGGCACTGGAACGACGTCGAGCGTGCTTACAAATGAAGTTTTACGCAGATGGTTATACCTTATGTGGTAGAATTTTTTCCAGGGTTTCTCCCGTCTTTCCACTCTTCTCCAACTCTGCTCGGGCCTCTTCTGTCGTCTTTCCTTTCATTAGAGCTTCAGGCTGGGCCAAGAAATTGGCTAAAAGAATCTAAGGGTATCAATAACAACACATTATTCACACAAAAATTATAAAAAGCTGGCAAGCAGTGCAATGTGCCAAAAAAGGTAATAAAATCCTAGAATTTGGTATAAGCCGAAATTCAATACAAATAAAAGAACCGGAGCCCTCACTAGGATCGCGCTTTATAGAGAACAACGTTAGAAAAAGCGGACGCAATGCCCGTGCACACAAAACGATAAGCTGCTACAGCTGCTGCTACTTAAAGTTATGTGAATAGTGTGCACTTTACTTAAAAGAACTTGCAAAGTAATGCAGGCAAGTATCGTAACTTTGTATGTCCAAACTACAACCGATCGAGGCATCAGAGCAGCATAATTTAAAACACAATTGCAATCTATGAAGCAGACAGCTCGTTCCTCCAACATTTCTCTGAATTCAACAAATCTGTTTAAACTGGCAAAAACATTACGGTATGATGCAATCCACCAGAAATTGGATTCTGGGTCTCGACCGGCGCTAAGAAGTCTCCTGGGATCAGTTTGGTGCCTGAACAGAAATCAACGCAGCATAGGTATATTAAGTATTTTACCATAACTGAGCGATTTCTCGCGCGCTGATTTGTCGAGAGCTATGTTCAATAAGAGCACAGACCACAAAAATAACGTGATAGTGGCACAATTTGTTTTTTGTTTGTTTCTTTTTTTCTCTCTCTCGCGCAACGGAAATGGACGTCAAAATTGTCAATGTTATTGTAAACAATAAATCGACAATAATTTTCCAAGATCTGGAAATGACCGTAGAAATGACGTCAAAATGTTCAAACTGTACAGTGAAACCACTCGCCTGCAGCTCGTGGTTCCGCCTGAGTTTTGAACATTTTGACGACATTTCTATGGTCGATAAGAGTACAGTCCATGGAAAATTGTTGTCGATTTGTAAATTACAACATAAGCGCCTCGTTTACAGGCTCCTTGCTTCCTAAAATGCAATTGGCGAACAGTCTGGAACTTGGAAATGAGTACCGAGGATAGGAGTTGCTAGAGGCCACTAGAAAAATTTATTTTAAACAGGGATAAATAAAAGAGTACACATTTTCAGCTAATGGCCATTTGTGTATAAAACCACTAATACTAATAATGAGATAATCTCACGTTTGCAAATTTAATGCTCCAGAATAACAAGCCTCGCAAACAGTACGTGACATATTGCACGATAGTTTAGTCGAGAAGATGTGCCTAAATTCCTATGGCATTTTTTTTTTACACGTAACTTACTATTCAGTCTTTAAAAGCCCAAAACTAGAGCTTGAGAACATACCCTGATGTATAAGCTGGTAAAATGCGTGTTGTCCATTAGTTCCAGGTTCTCCCCACACAATAGGACCAGTGGAGTAATCAACACGTTCGCCGCTACGAGTTACCGATTTACCGTTTGACTCCATATCACCCTTGTAGAAAAAGAGAAACAACGATAATTACTTCCTTTGCTTATTGTCATGTTTAGAAAAAGCCCAAGTTTGGTTTTTAATATTAGGCCAATAATGAACCAGGTGGCCGCTTCTCGAAAGTCCAGGTAACCGGGCCAGAAATCAAATATTCAACTCAAAACCTAACGAAACACAACTTACTTGCTGAAAATAGGCGGCAAAGCGGTGCATGAACTGGAATAAGAAGAGAAAACCGTTAAAGAACACAACCTAGCCCGGTTTTGCTTAGATAAGACTAACCAACATCAACCAACATAATTTAATTGTAGACTAAATTTTGGGGCAAATTTTCACAAGTCTGAGCTACCCGCAAAAAACGGCACAACATTATCTTTTTCCAACTAACCTTTCCGATAGGCTACTTTTAGCATACTAAAATCATTCAACTTGATAACAAGATCTATTTTTAAACATTAAAAATAAATAAACCGTATTATTGATTTTCTGTCTCGCTGTCAAATTGAGGTACAGTATGTCTAGGTAGGCTATCTGAAAAGGCTATACGCTTTAAAGAGGGATGCAAATATACACACAGATATACAGATTTCGGTGGGTGTCATCCACTTCGACGCGCAGCATCGCTGGATAACACCTTCTTTACTTTACGTAATTCTTCACATCATACACAGCCTTTTCCAAAAAAAAAAGGTTAAATAACTGCAGTACTGAATTACCACAACAAACAACAACTCAACATGGCCAAAAAAATCATCATCATCATTGTGACGCAATGGGGAAAAATTGGGCTTTTGGTATGAGAAGAAGTTTATAAACTTCTCATTCACGCACTTAATTTAGAAGTCAAGTTATTATCACTTCGTTGGGTATTGTGGCGCATTTTGCGAGCTAAAATGGAGAATTTAGCGGGCTTCGCAGTTAGCTTCGCTTTGAAAAAAGAGGCTTGAAGAGAAAAAGAGCAAAAAAGAGAATTGTTAAATTCCTAGACTTTCCCTCAACTAAACAGGGGCTGCCATTGGTTGATTCCTGGTCACGTGGCCTTGTCTTTATTCACCTGCACCCAGAGCGTGGTAAAATTTTGCACCCTTAAGGAGATTGGACATCTTATTATACTTACAGAAAATACCAAGAGTTTGCTGTGAAGTTTAGTGACCAGGGCTAGGAAACAAAGTGAATGATGTTTCATATTGGAGTTTAGTAATTGTTCCCTTGAAGCTGCAACGAAGACAAAAGAAAGAAACGGCTCACCTGGTCATACTGGAAGAACCCATGTGTCTGAGCACCCAAAAAAATTGTAATACCAGACCTTAAGCATCGCTAAGATGACAGGCACCTGTTTGAAGAAATTTTATAAATTTTACTATATCAGCAATAACAATGTACGGTATATAATTTCGTTTTGCCAAAATCTCGTCAGTGCGAGTTTTGGTTCTCCCGAATTTTCGACAGTGCAAAATGCCGCTCTGCCTAAGTTTCTTTGAAACGAATTTTCGCTTGTTTAAAAGCGAAATTTTGCAGAGATTTTCGTGAGATTTCGTTTCATTAGTGCAAAATTGGCGGGCGTTTCAGAAAAATTTCGCGGCGAGCTTTCAGCGACCCTTCGGCAGCGAGAACAAAGGAAAAATTTGGCGAACTTCGCACTTATTACTTTTGCGCAGTACTGTACCTACTAAGCTTAATAGCGGCAGGACAGACCCTTAACACGAACAAAAATATTGTGATTTGAAAGGGTGAGAGTGTCAGTGGATCAAAAACGCTTTCAGCCAAGAGGGACTGGGGCTTCGGAACATAATACAACATGAGTTTTGAACATTTTGACGACATTTCTATGGTCGATAAGAGTACAGTCCATGGAAAATTGTTGTCGATTTGTAAATTACAACATAAGCGCCTCGTTTACAGGCTCCTTGCTTCCTAAAATGCAATTGGCAAACAGTCTGGAACTTGGAAATGAGTACCGAGGATAGGAGTTGCGAGAGGCCACTAGGAAAATTTATTTTAAACAGGGATAAATAAAAGAGTACACATTTTCAGCTAATGGCCATTTGTGTATAAAACCACTAATACTAATAATGAGATAATCTCACGTTTGCAAATTTAATGCTCCAGAATAACAAGCCTCGCAAACAGTACGTGGCATATTGCATGATAGTTTAGTCGAGAAGATGTGCCTAAATTCCTATGGCATTTTTTTTTACACGTAACTTACTATTCAGTCTTTAAAAGCCCAAAACTAGAGCTTGAGAACATACCCTGATGTATAAGCTGGTAAAATGCGTGTTGTCCATTAGTTCCAGGTTCTCCCCACACAATAGGACCAGTGGAGTAATCAACACGTTCGCCGCTACGAGTTACCGATTTACCGTTTGACTCCATATCACCCTTGTAGAAAAAGAGAAACAACGATAATTACTTCCTTTGCTTATTGTCATGTTTAGAAAAAGCCCAAGTTTGGTTTTTAATATTAGGCCAATAATGAACCAGGTGGCCGCTTCTCGAAAGTCCAGGTAACCGGGCCAGAAATCAAATATTCAACTCAAAACCTAACGAAACACAACTTACTTGCTGAAAATAGGCGGCAAAGCGGTGCATGAACTGGAATAAGAAGAGAAAACCGTTAAAGAACACAACCTAGCCCGGTTTTGCTTAGATAAGACTAACCAACATCAACCAACATAATTTAATTGTAGACTAAATTTTGGGGCAAATTTTCACAAGTCTGAGCTACCCGCAAAAAACGGCACAACATTATCTTTTTCCAACTAACCTTTCCGATAGGCTACTTTTAGCATACTAAAATCATTCAACTTGATAACAAGATCTATTTTTAAACATTAAAAATAAATAAACCGTATTATTGATTTTCTGTCTCGCTATCAAATTGAGGTACAGTATGTCTAGGTAGGCTATCTGAAAAGGCTATACGCTTTAAAGAGGGATGCCAATATACACACAGATATACAGATTTCGGTGGGTGTCATCCACTTCGACGCGCAGCATCGCTGGATAACACCTTCTTTAATTTACGTAATTCTTCACATCATACACAGCCTTTTCCAAAAAAAAAAAAGGTTAAATAACTGAAGTACTGAATTACTAAGCTTAATAGCGGCAGGACAGACCCTTAACACGAACAAAAATATTGTGATTTGAAAGGGTGAGAGTGTCAGTGGATCAAAAACGCTTTCAGCCAAGAGGGACTGGGGCTTCGGAACATAATACAACAGCAGCTATTTAACAAAGGTACGTATATAAAAGATTTGAACC